CCTTCTAACGGCCAATAACTGATAACAACCCATAACTTTCTCCTTCTAACGACCAATAACTGATAACAACCCATAACTTTCTCCTTCTAACGGCCAATAACTGATAACAACCCATAAATTTCTCCTTCTAACGAGAAATAACTGATAACAACCCATAACTTTCTCCTTCTAACGACCAATAACTGATAACAACCCATAACTTTCTCCTTCTAACGGCCAATAACCGATAACAACCCATAACTTGTGCTTCACATGTTGTTTTACGTGTTGTGTTTTACATGTGTTTGACATGTGTTTTACGTTGTGTTTCACATGTTGTGTTTTGCATGGTGTTTGACATGTTGTCTTTCATGTGTTGTGTTTGACATGTTGTGTTTGACATGTTGTGCTTTACATGTGTTTGGCATGTTGTGTTTTACGTGGTTGACATGTTGTGTTTTACATGTTGTGTTTTACATGTTGTGTTTTACATGTTGTGTTTCACATGTTGTGATTCACTTGTTGTGTTTCACCTGTTGTATTTCACATCTTGTATTTCACTTGTTGTTACACATGTTTTTGACATGTTGTATTTCACATGTTGCGTTGTACGTGTTGTGTTTTACATGTTTCACTTGTGTTTTACATGTTGTGTTTCACATGTTGTGTTTCACATGGTGTTTTACATGTTGTCTTTCACGTGTTGTGTTTTACATGTTGTCTTTCACGTGTTGTGTTTTACATGTTATCTTTCACGTGTTGTGTTTGACGTGTTTTGTTTTACATGTTTTGTTTTACATGTTGTGTTTTACATGTTGTGTTTTACATGTGTTTGACATGTTGTGTTTACGTGGTGTTTGACATGTGTTGTACATGGTGTTTGACATGTTCTGTTTCACGTGTTGTGTTTCACATGTTGTGTTTTACATGTTGTGTTTACATGGTGTTTTACATGTTGTCTTTCACGTGTTGTGTTTGACATGTTGTGTTTGACATGTTGGGCTTTACGTGGTGTTTGACATGTTGTGTTTGACATGTTGTGATTCACTTGATGTGTTTCACATGTTGTATTTCACATGATGTGTTTGACGTGTTGTGTTTTACATGTTGTGTTTTACGTGTTGTGATTCACTTGTTATGTTTCACATATTGTATTTCACATCTTGTATTTCACTTGTTTCACATGTTGTGTTTGACATGGTGTGTTTGACTTGTTGTGTTTGACTTGTTGTGTTTGACATGTGGTGTTTGACATGTGGTGTTTGACATGTTGTTTGACATGGTGTTTCACGTGTTGTTTCACATGTGTTTCACATGTTGTGTTTGACATGTTTCACATGTGTTTGACATGTTGTTTCACATGGTGTTTGACATGTTGTATTTCACATGTTTAACATTTGACATGTGGTGTTAGACATGTGTTTGACATGTGTTTGACATGGTGTTTCACATGTTGTGTTTGACATGTTGTTTCACATGTTGTATTTGACATGTGGTGTTTGGCATGTTGTGTTTGACATGTTTCACGTGTTGTATTTGACATGTTGTGTTTGACATGTTGTTTGACATGTATTTCACATGTTGTGTTTGACATGTTTCACATGGTGTTTTACATGTTGTATTTGACATGTTTGACATGTTTCACATGTGGTGTTTAACATGTTGTGTTTGACATGTGGTGTTTGACATTTTGTTTCACATGTTGTGTTTGACATGTTGTTTCACATGTTGTGTTTTACATGTTGTTTCACATGTTGTATTTGACATGTTGTTTCACATGTTGTATTTGACATGTTGTTTCACATGTTGTATTTGACATATTGTGTTTGACATGTGTTTGACATGGTGTTTCACATGTTGTATTTGACATGTTGTGTTTGACATGTTGTTTCACATGTGTTTGACATTTGGTGTTTGACATGTTGTTTCACATGTTGTTTCACATGTTGTAGTTGACATGTTGTTTCACATGTTGTATTTGACATGTTGTTTCACATGTTGTATTTGACATGTTGTTTCACATGTTGTATTTGACATGTTGTTTCACATGTTGTATTTGACATGTTGTATTTGACATGTGTTTGACATGGTGTTTGACATGTTGTGTTTGACATGGTGTTTGACATGTTGTGTTTGACATGTTGTGTTTGAGATGTTGTTTCACATGTTATATTTGACATGTTGTATTTGACATGTTGTTTCACATGGTGTTTCACATGTTGTGTTTGACATGTTGTTTCACATGTTGTATTTGAAATGTTGTTTGACATGTTTCACATGTTGTTTGACATGTTGTTTCACATGTTGTATTTCACATGATGTGTTTCACATGTGGTGTTTGACATGTTTTATTTCACATGTGGTGTTTGACATGTTGTATTTGACATGTGTTTGACATGTTGTTTCACATGTTGTATTTGAAATGTTGTGTTTGACATGTTGTATTTGACATGTTTGACATGGTGTTTCACATGATGTTTGAGATGTTGTTTCACATCTTGTATTTCACATGTTTGACATGGTGTTTCACATGTTGTATTTGACATGTTGTTTGACATGGTGTTTCACATGTTGTGTTTGAGGTGTTATTTCACATGTTGTATTTGACATGTTGTGTTTGACATGTATTTGACATGTTGTGTTTGACATGTATTTAACATGTTGTGTTTGACATGTTTTGTTTGACATGGTGTTTCACATGTTGTATTTCACATGTTGTATTTGACATGTGGTGTTTGACATGTGGTGTTTGACATGTTGTTTCACATGTTCTGTTTCACATGTTGTATTTCACATGTTGTTTGACATGGTGTTTCACATGTGTTTGACATGTTGTTTCACATGTTCTGTTTCACATGTTGTATTTCACATGTTGTTTGACATGGTGTTTCACATGTTGTTTGAGATGTTGTTTCACATGTTGTATTTCACATGTTGTTTGACATGTTGTTTCACATGTTGTGTTTCACATGTTGTGTTTCACATGTTGTTTGACATGGTGTTTCACATGTTGTTTCACATGTTGTTTGACATGGTGTTTCACATGTTGTGTTTGAGATGTTTCACGTGTTGTATTTCACATGTTGTGTTTGACATGTGGTGTTAGACATGTTTGACATGGTGTTTCACATGTTGTTTCACATGTTGTTTGACATGGTGTTTCACATGTTGTGTTTGATATGTTTCACGTGTTGTATTTCACATGTTGTGTTTGACATGTGGTGTTTGACATGTTGTTTGACATGTTTCACATGTTGTTTGACATGTTTCACATGTTGTTTGACATGGTGTTTCACATGTTGTGTTTCACATGTTGTTTGACATGCTTCACATGTTGTGTTTGACATGTTGTTTGACATGTTGTGTTTCACATGTTGTTTGACATGGTGTTTCACATGTTGTGTTTCACATGTTGTTTGACATGGTGTTTCACATGTTGTGTTTCACATGTTGTTTGACATGTTGTTTCACATGTTGTGTTTCACATGTTGTTTGACATGTTTCACATGTTGTGTTTGACATGTTTGACATGTTGTTTGACATGTTGTGTTTCACATGTTTGACATGGTGTTTCACATGTTGTGTTTGACATGTTGTTTGACATGTTGTTTCACATGTTATGTTTCACATGTTTGACATGGTATTTCACATGTTGTGTTTCACATGTTGTTTGACATGGTGTTTCACATGTTGTGTTTCACATGTTGTTTGACATGGTGTTTTACATGTTGTGTTTCACATGTTGTTAGATGAGCTTTAAGGAAACTCAAAGTAATAAATGTATATCTAGAACTCATCCTTTGGTCGGCCTAATTCCAGGATGTAAAGAGAAGAGCTGCTGTGTTCTGATATTCTTGTCCTCCTGAGTCTCTTTCTTGTCCCTCAAACCCAGCCGGAGGCAGATGGCTGCCTGTCCTGAGCCTCCTTCTGGTTCTGGTTCTTCCTGTTAACCATGTGCTGCTCAGGGTGGAGACTGTGGTGAAGTGACTGAATACAGTTTTCTGTGTTCAGTCACTGACCTGGAGCTGTATAAATAAACTGAATAATTTGAAGCACTGATTGGCCTTCAGTGTGGTTTTCCTCAGGTTGATACACTTGAATCTTGAACTGTGAGGTAAAGCAGTCTTTGTCTCCAGGCTGTGGCAGCCCTGGCTGATATTCCTAAAGACGTTCCAGTTCACCTGGAGCTGGCCAGCATGACGGACAGAGACTACATGAACAGCATTCTGCAGGAGGTATGTGTGGTGAGATGGATGAACACTGTGTGTGTGCTGTGGGTTTAACACAGGTGTGTGTCTGTGTGCTGTTGGTTTAACACAGGTGTGTGTCTGTGTGCTGTTAGTTTAACCCTCTGAGGTCTGGGGTCTAAATGGTCGTTTTTGACTAACTTTGAATTTAACTCTGTTTCCACCTTAAAAACTATTTACCTTGCCATGTTTGGTATCATTATTTTCAGCACATCAGGTTTATGATTTTAGATTGTTGTTTCATTTTGACAAACTGCATTATCACAGTGAACCAAAAAACACACAAAAACAAAATCTGAGTAGGAAAACGTTTTGCTATTTTTATTATAAAATTCACAAAAATGTTTAACGAACAATTTTTCTAACCTATAATGAAAATCTATAGTACAAATACCATAAACATGTGTACAAATGTAGCAAAAAGCAAAATTAAATCTATGTTTTTACATTAAATTGTGTGCAAATTTCCAGGCGTTTTTTACAACAATTTACTAAATGTGTCACAATGACTCCTCCACAAATCCTCTCCAACCTTACAATGTCTCGTGTTTATTTATTTATTTATTATTTTACAACCATTTCAAAAATGTGTGACAATGACTCAATCATTAAATCTCTCCAGCCTTATGTCTCATGTTTTTGTTTTTACAACCATTAGTCCTGAACATTGGTAGTTGAACCACAGACGTATAGACCAGGAGACCCAAAGATTTATATAACTCCTGTGTCTATTTGAGCCCATTTATATCTATTTTTTCACTAGCTTGTTTTTTGTAGCATGTTTGTTGGTGTTATCACAGATGGTTTTGACTATCAGAAGCAAAAAAACAACAAAAATAGGTCTTTTGGACTGTTGGGGGACAGCAGATCTACCTGCACTCCTGGTGGTCTCCTATAGGCTGAAAACAGCTTTACAACAGGGGCTGTGTTCTCTTGGTGTTCCACTGCCCATCACCTGTTTCAGCTGCTGTAGCCAGCAGGGATCTGGTTCTGGTTCTGGTCCTGGTCCGACTTTGTTGTGGTTTATTGTGTTGTGGGCCTGACAGAGTAGATGGGCAACTCCTCCTCCTCTTCCTCTTCGTCTTCCCCTGGAGATGAAATCAGCTTATATAATGTGGTACAGTTTGCCTCTGTTCCATTTATAATCTTACATATTCCACGCCAAACAAACAAACACAAACAAACAACTAACCTCCGAGTCTGAAGTTCACTGGCGCGTCTTTCTCCTCTTCCTCATTTCCTTCAGCTCAGCTCAGCACTCAGAGCTTCCTCCACAGTCAAATGATGACTCATTTTGACACACAGACTAACAAAGAATAACAACACTACTACAAACACTGCACACACACTCACACACTCTAACACACGTATGGTCTAAAAACTAACCCGGTACTAGCTAAATCCAAAATGCCGAAATCCGTTCTCCTCTCGTCTCCAAAACTTTGCGACCGGATTTCTGACAGAATACCATACCCATCAGAATAGCATACCCTTAAGCAATATGCATGCACTGCAATGAAATCCACATCATTGCACATGTGTCAAATCCCCATCATTTCATCATACCTCCAACCACAAGCGTTAAGTTTTCTATATACACTGAGGCTTTTTATTTTATTTTTTTATCAAGTGGAGAGTGAGGCAGACAAAGTGCAGCCCAAAGACCCCCTAGTGATGACTACGATAAATGGACTGGGTGTTCCCTCGCCCGGACGCAGGTCACCAGGGCCCCACTGGAGTCAGGCCTAGAGGTGGGGCACGTTGGCGAGTGCTTGGTGGCCGGGCTTTTGCCCATGGAGCCCGGTCGGGCACAGCCCGAAGAGAAGTGGGTCCCCCTTCCCATGGGCTCACCACCTGTGGGAGGGGCCATAGGGGACAGGTGCATTGTGTTTTGGGCAGTGGTTGAAGGTGGGGACCTTGGCGATCCGATCCTCGGCTGCAGAAGCTGGCTCTAGTGACATGGAATGTCACCTCTCTGGTGGGGAAGGAGCCCGAGCTGGTGTGTGAGGTTGAGAGGTTCTGACTAGATATAGTTGGACTCACCTCGACACACCGCTCTGGCTCTGGAACCAGTCTCCTCCAGAGGGGTTGGACACCCTTCCATTCTGGAGTTGCCCATACTGAGAGGCGTCGAGCTGGAGTGGGCATACTTATTGCCCCCTATCTTGGTGCCTGTACGTTGGGGTTCACTCCTGTGAATGAGAGGGTAGCCTCCCTCCACCTATGGATGTGGGTGATGGGTCCTGACTGTTTTTTTGCCTATGGGCCTAACAGCAGCTCAGATTACCCACCCTTTATGGAGTCCTTTGAGGGGGTGCTGGAGAGCGCACCTAATGGGGACTCCCTCGTTCCGCTGGGGGACTTCAACACTCATGTGTGTAATGGTAGTGAGACCTGGAGAGGCGTGGTTGGGAGGAATCCCCCCGATCTGAACTCGAGTGGTGTTTTGTTATTGGACTTCTGTGCTCATCATGGATTGTCCATAACGAACACCATGTTCAAACATAAGGGTGTCCATATGTGCTCTTGGCACCAGGACACCCTAGGCCGTAGTTCGATGATCGACTTTCTTGTCGTTTCATCTGATCTGCGGCCGCATGTTTTGGACACTCAGGTGAAGAGAGGGGCGGAACTGTCAGTTGACCACTACCTGGTGGTGAGTTGGCTCTGTTGGTGGGGGACGATGCTGGTCCGACCTGGCAGACCCAAACGTATAGGGAGGGTCTGCTGGAAATGTCTGTCAGAGTCTTCCATCAGATGGAGCTTCAACTCACACCTCCGGGGGAACTTTGAACACATTCTGGGGGAGGTGGGGGACATTGAGTCCGAGTGAGCCATGTTTCGTACCTCCATTGTCAAGGCAGCTTACCTGAGCTGTGGCCGCAAGGTTGTCGGTGCCTGTCATGGCGGCAACCCTCAAACCCGCTGGTGTACATCAGCGGTGAGGGATGCTGTCAGGCTGAAGAAGGAATCCTATTGGGTCTTTTTGGCCTGTGGGACTCTGGAAGCAGCCAATAGGTATCAGCAGTCCAAGCGGATTGTGGCTTGGGTGGTCATTGAGGCAAAAACTCAGGCGTGGGAGTAGTTCGGAGAGGCCATGGAAAAAGACTTTGTTCAGCTTCAAGGTGATTCTGGTCCACCATCCGGCGTCTC